ATCATAACCAGAATAGTTATTACTTTCAATTTTGCTAATATTTGAAGTAGTAAAAACTAGAACAAGAAGATTTAACAATAAGAATATAATAAGAATATAACATGCAATACTTGTTATATTTTATTTATTTAATATTGTATAGTATATAATGACATATCAACACTTATGAGGTCTATTAGGCTGCCCTTGTTAGAGTCTACTAAAATTAATTTGGATTTTAGGAGACCACAACATCTGTTTCTTGGTAATTACAAATCATACGCAGATATAAAGGAATAATATTTCATTCTGTCTTCAGAAAAATTTATAGTTGTCAGTATTTTGTAGTCAAAATTTTGCAAGTTTGTTACTAACAGAAACATGTTCAGTTAAGGAATCGGTGATTAGTCTGATATCAGATCTGTTTAGATAATATCTAGTAAGAAAGATACACTTTAAACATATTAGAAAAAAAAATCTGTTAAGACTGTTTAACTGGATTAATGTGGGATCATGTATATCAGCCGTTCTGTAATTTAGATCAATTGGTGAACTTTATAAACTTTATTTCCCTTTTAAAAATTTAAAAACAACTTTTATTCAATCAAGTCTTTTTTTCAGTGTTCTCTTGAATTTCTTTATGAATTAAAGCAGAAAATAGCAAAAATAAATTCCTGAGAACTTATTATTTATTATAAATATAAATTTAATTTATAGTTATGTATACAACGAAAAAAATGATTTTTAAGGTTGTTTTAAATGACGAAAAGAAACAATTTTATGGTTTCAAACAGTAATGAAGAAGGAACAACAAAAATTTGATTAATTTATTGAAATTTGACTGACCATACAACTCTGTTTCGAGTATTCTTATCAGTTACTCATCATCTGTAATCTTATGCAATAAAAATAATAATAATATTTATTCAATAAAATTTATTACTTTATTTTAATTTTCTACCAGCAGGAAATTTCACTTGACAGATACTCCAGATTAATATATATCTATATTATGTCTGATATCTCTATAGCATTAGAGTATTCTTCATTGTGTTAAATTACTTTAATTTAGAAAATTGAATATATCAACCAAGCTATAATATATGCTGTAAATAAAATGTCTTTAATTTTTGTAAATTTTTTTGTTTCTGAATGTTTTGTTGTATTGAAGTATTGTAGTAGCTGTTGTTATATTCTAGTCCAGAAGTTGGTTTTTTTTTTGTTTTTGCTGGTTTGTTGATCTACGTATCTCACAAATACAAGTGCCTTTGCATTTCATTTCGTGCATATTTAATGCTTGTTGTGCAAATAGAATTCCAAGCCTCAGCATACAAACTAGCAATTTGCAGTAGCGCATTCACCCCTATGCGGGGGTGAGTTTGCCAAAAAGGATGCTTGGAAAATACATAAAAATACGTACGTATAATGCATGCAAAATTGTTAGTTATGTGCGATGCACCAACGTCGTCATGTGTAGACTATACACATGCCAGGACATATCCACATTCATATATACTAGTATATACTGACATGTGTACGCCAACATTTGTACATAAAAGTAATCCTTTATCCTGTTATATTTTTTTGTGTACTTGGCAAACGCGCAGACATTTTGATTTGAATTGAATTTTTATATCCTTTTTATCCGATTTTTTTCTCGTCTTTCAATTTTGTAGTTTGTTGCTGTATTTGCTGCCTGTGATTTTCGACATTTCTGCAATCTTTGAAGAGTTTGTTATTCGATTTTTTTTCGATTTTTCTTAGCCGTAATTCGGTTCTTTTTTTTTACATCAGTCAAGAATCCGCACGAAAAGGATTCCGTTCCTCTGTTGTCAGGTATGCGTCAACCAATTCTCAAATATTTTCTTTGGTTTGGAATTTATTTGATATTAAAATCAGTTCTGCATGCTTCGATTTCTTATGTATTCGAATGGAGTTCCTTTTTTTCTTGCAATTTCCTCAGTTATTTTTATAGATACTCGATTTTTGTATGCTTTGTGGTTTGTGCGTTGATGCAAATATTTTTTAGGAAAACACAAAATATTTGCTTGAATAAATTTAAGTGGATATGCCAATTTCAGTTGCATCCAATACAAAAGTAGTTTTGCTTTTTCTTTGGCCTTAGACTGCAATTAAATAGATTATTTTCCAGAAATTGGTAGAATGAAATAGTAATGAAAGCCTTTTGCTGCCGTTGAATAGCAGAGCTTATCGACTTTCATTCACTCGTCAAGTTTTGGTTGTTGGTTTTCGGGCTCAGCGTCGTAGCTGTGGGAAATGTAAGGATTTCGCATCATTTGCATATGCTTACAATTTAATTAATTCTTCAACTTATTTGATTTTGTGCAAATCCTTTAACAAGCTGATGTCTGCTTATGCAAATACTTTTGTACAAGTTATACAAAATACTTGAGGTCCTGTTTGCAATATTCTTGCATACACTCGCGCACTCGTATATTTGTATGTAAAAATTCATATCCTATGGTTGCTAATAGGATGTCAAAGAGGGACTTCAGGCAGTTCAAAATTTAAAGGCAACAAAATCATTTTTAAATGCATTATACAAATATTTTTTATTACAACTGCTAAACATGAGATAGCTGTTTCTAGTTTTTTCACTTGCAAACCAACCAACCCTCCTCGACAGCGATTTTCTATTGTAGTCAGTAAGAAATTTGCATAAAGTTTGCCATGTTTTACTGCTCAC